CCTACTTTTTTCTTTAGCTTCTTGAGCTCAATACAATCTTTGTTTAATTAGTTACTTGATAACAATTAGCATTTAGCCTAGCTACCAAAGTTGCTGGCTTTAGAGCAATCAATTCTCTTAATATCAGCTCCTAAAAGTTGAAGTTTCTTGTGAAAATCCTCATAGCCCCTCTCAATATGTGAAATCTCATAAACTTCAGTGACTCCTTCAGCTGCTAATCCAGCTAAAACTAAAGCTGCACCTCCTCTTAAGTCACCCGCAACAACTCGACTGCCTCGTAGCTTACTTGCAAATTACAAAACAATATTAATCATGAACAAGATGCGCAATAATTAGAGAAAATTGCATTTTAGTCATAATAGGATACAACATCTTACTTGCTTGCCTCTATTCCATGAACAAATGCACGACCTTCACGGACCTCAATTTTAGCACCAAGTTTCTGCAATTCTTTCACTAGAAGACCCACCAAAAAAACCCAAAAAATAATTATTTGGATAGTTAATATGAAAAGTATGGCATTTGAGTATATTAAAAAGATTAAGTCACCAAAACTAACTTGAATTTAGCTTAGCTAGTCACCAGAAAACATACTTGTATGAGATGGTCTAACCGTTAAGCTGATCAATCCACCATTTTTTTTTTTTTCACAAATTTTCGTTTCCGTGAATATATGTAAACATGAACAAATGAAAAAGTTGATATATACCATGACTCATTCGGTTTTCGAACACCGATTCTTCCACAAGGCTCGATCCGCGACACGTGGCGAGCAACGCCATCGTCTGAGGCTGGAGATCGGTCGGGAATCCCGGGTACGGCTCGGTTTTTACATCAAAACCAACTAATAGCTCCTCTCCACTTACCTAAGTTAATTGCAAACACTATGCATGAGGTAAAAAAACTTACCCAAAAAAAAAAAAAAGTGTCAGGAAAAAAAAACTCATTTATGGCACGTGCCTTGAGCACATTGTGCTCGTACGCGATGTTGCACCCGACACTCGACAGCTTGTTGACTAAGCAAGATAACGAGCAAGGATCGGCAACTGGTGACATGGAAATGCTCGACCGGGTGATGGCAGCTGCAAGCATGAAAGTGCCCGTCTCGATTCTATCGGGCGTGATGTCATGCTCCGAGCCTTTTAACCGGTTAGTTCCGTAAATACGAATCTTGTTCGTGCCCGAACCTTGTATATGTGCCCCTGCTTTCGTTAGGAAGCGAGCGAGATCGACTATTTCGGGTTCCTAAACAGCAAGATATATTCAACTTTCAATCATCATAATCACATTGTTTTTACTATACAATAAAAAGAGAGTAATTAAGTTAAATGACTTTATGTTTATAGTCTTATAATTAATTACTTTGGCAACATTTGACAGCAGAGTAGTTCCTGAAGCCATGCAAGCAGCCATCATCAGAGTTTGAGTAGCTCCAACGCTAGGATAATCGAGCCGGAATTCACCACCGGAAAGAGTTCTTCCATCGGCTGCGCGTGCAATCACTTTCATGTCTCTGTTAACAATATAAGAAAATGATGTAATTTCAACGAAAAATTCGAACATAAATATATATTCCAATGGAACTCCTGCTATTGTTTCTGTTGGAATTTTTCAATAGATTCCAATGAAAATTCCAACGAAAATATTCCGGTGGAATGAGTTTTCTATTAGATTTTTTCGCTTGATTTTGACGATTCTAACGAGAGATTTTCGGTGAAAATGAAAATTGAAACGAAAATTCCTATGGCATCAAATTCCAACTAAAATTCCAATGAAAAATTTATTCTAACGGAATATTTTTCGTTAAACTATGACAATTCCACGTGCTTTAATGCGCTTGATCCATACGTGTACGTACGTGCCTCTAAAAATCGGCATGTTTCTGTATTGATCGTGACTCGTGATGTATCAGTATTCTCATTCTTCTATCCATGTTTTATTAACATTTGACTTGCTAATATGACATCTATATATATATAATTACTAGCTAATAACATTTAATAAAACCTATTTAATTTTACCTATGTGACAATTTAATAATTTTCCCTCCAAAAACCGTTACATTTTGATGTATTTAATCTTTCATTTAATCATTAAATAATTAATACTCATCACTTCAAAATTACAAAAATCATTTTAAACTTTTGATTAATGACAGTTGACCATATAATGTGTTGACCGTATAATGTGATTAGATGTTATTATTGTTGTTACATTTAATTTTTTTTTAAATAAAAAATATATTTGAAATTTCTAAATAAATAATAAATAATTCACAAATAAAAGACGTACCAAAATATACATTACATCCAATCAGATAAACGCAATTTAAAAAAAAAATATTACAATCCTTTTAATTGTAAATTTGGTCTGCAAAAAAAGTGAAAAAAAAATAATTAATCATTATATGCATACAGACTCATAATAATTTATAATTTATTTATATCTGTGCAAATGCACGTGTCGAATACTAATTTAAATCAGTTGGCATTGTACAGACTATAGATAGGGATATACCATAATAATTCATAAGAAAAAACGAACAAAAAGGCAAAAATGAAAAACAGTTAGGGGAAGAGAAATCAGCAAACCTCACTTCAACATAAGCCCCAAGAGCCCGAAGCCCGCTAACATAGATATCAACGGGCCGGGCCCCAATATTGCATCCGCCCGGAAGCCCAACAACCGCCTCCCCAAACCGGGCCAGCAGCGGCCCAAGTATAAAGAACCCACCCCTGATCTCTCCCATGAGTGCCGGGTCGGGTTCAGTCGGCCGGGCCCGGCCCGCATCAACCAGCACCTGGTTGCCAGAAAACTCAACCCTGGCCCCCACGGAGGCCAATATGGAGGCCATGGCCCTAATGTCGGACACATTGGGCACATTGTTGAGCTTGGATGGGCCCGTGCAGCAGAGTGTGGCCGCTAGTATGGAGAGGGCCGAGTTCTTGGACCCGCTGATGTGGACATGGCCCGACAGCCTGGACCCGCCAGCTATCACGAGTTTCGGGCCCTGTTCGGGACAATGGGTTTGGGTTTCGGGGAATGAGTTAACATTAGGCGCCATTTGTGACGGTAAATTAAAGCTTCAAAATAATTTGGATTTTTTGCTAGCTGAGGAGCCAAATGGAAAAAGAACAGAGTTAAATTAAATTAGTGACGTGTATTTCACATGGCTGGTTGAATAATGCAGCTACTTCAATAATTTAGTAGAAAGCGTGAATCTGATGGGTATAAAATATCTTATACGGTAAAGAGAGAGATTGTTAACGGTATCACAATTTTTTTTTTTCTTTTTGGGTTCAGACGAAATAATTATCGAGCGGGTTGATCCGTTATAGTTTTATAATAAGAATACATATCTATATCTATATATATATAATAAGAATTAACATTTTCTAAAAATAGTACATCAAATTTTGGTCAAAATTCTATCTGCATTAATTACATGTCAGTTTTGGTAATTTTTTTTTTTACAAAAAAATCGGACAGCATTAAATGCTGCCCTTAAAATGTGGGATTTGTTCAATCACAAAAGATTTTCACATGTGACATCATAATTCTCTTTAAGAAAGGTATCAATAGTGATTCCTCACTTACGTGATTCGAACTCGAAACTCATTTATAATTGTATTTCGAACTCGAAACCCATTTATAATTGTTATTTAATATTGTTTATCCGTGTATCGCACGGAATACGCACTAATTTAATTATATGCTTTGAGTCATATATTTGTATGACTGTACATTTCCACCTAGAGATGTTTCATTTATCACGTCATAAGGAGTTTTTCCATTTGAGGCTTTTACACAGTTTTAGATTGAAAGGGGCCCTGTGTACACATGAATTTTGGCCCACTGGTAAGTTTCTTTCAAATTTGATTGTCAGGACTTTGATGATGGGCCTGGGTACACATGTTATGGGCCGAAGTTTGTTCTCGACCACAATAACTACGCAATTTTAGGAATTTGGAGTCCAAGATCCAATGCATTGAATGCTTCTCAGTGAAGAAGTTAGATTTCTCAATCTAGTAAATTATAGAACGTTATTCTGATGCATTAATTTCACAATTTTTAAGATTTTTATGATTTCACGATTTATTGTCCCATAATATCATATGATTTAAAGGGTATAAAGCTATGATAGGATATTTGTAATTAGGTCGATTACATTATTATATATGTATCATAAAAAAACTTGTCTTTAAGACATATACTAACACTAAATTGCCCAATATTAGTGGACTTCCGAGACTCATTTATGAATTTAGTGTGCTATTTTTTTTTATTTTCTTTATTTTTTAATAGTTTATTTGGATCAGTGTGGACACCACCATATGCCAATATCACATGGTTTTTCAATTGCTATGCAATCTTCTACCACATCAAGCAATGAATATATTAAGTTAGCAATCTTCTACCACATCAAGCAATGAATATATTAAGTTGTGGCCACCAAAGAATCAAGCAATGAATATTAAGTTGTGGGCTTGTGGCCACCAAAAGTGAAACTCGTGCTTTATTATGTGATAACGAAACACTTAATTATGTAATAACTACGCTTATTATGTAATAACCAAACACCTTTAAGGCCTATTTACACAAAAGTGAAAGTTGTGAAACTCATTATGTAATAACCAAACACATTTAAGGCCTATTTACACAAAAGTGAAACTCGTGCTTTATTATGTAATAACTACGCTTATTACTCCCTCCTTTTTAAATTAGATGTCGTTTTGACTTTTTTGATTCATCCATTTTGCTACGTATCTAGACATATTTTAATGTCTAGATACGTAACAAAATGAATGAATCAAAAAAGTCAAAACGACATCTAATTTAAAAAGGAGGTAGTATGTAATAACCAGACACCTTTAAGGCTTCTTTGTAAATAGCATTCTTAATCTTTTACACTAAACAGACCAAGAAATTTTACATTAAAGAATTAGCAAAAATCTACATGGATTTGGATACATTCGATAGTTTTGTTAGCACTTTTTAACTAAATTTCAATTACAAGTTGAATAAATTATGTGTTACAGCGTCGAAAACTTGAGGAGAATTGCAAATTAAACTCAATTAAAGGCGTACACAAGCAGAGTTGGGCCGAAATACTCAAATTTTACTCGGCTCGTTAACTGAACTAGTAGATAAACGAGCTTGAGCTCATACCTTAACAAGTCGAGATCTAGAATTAACAAATCGAGCTATACAAAATTACATAATAATTTCAATTTTCAAGAGCTGAAATCATGCAGGACCCGTTTTATTTAAAAGCTCTAAACTTACGAGTCAAATAATCTAAAGCGGCAATGTGTTTCCTTTTCTTTTATTACAAGAAAGTAATTATAAATTTATTCGAAGTGATACAGCTAGAAAGTTCATTACATTTACTAACAACTCATAGGCGGCAGATCAGGCGCCGTCTTCCCGGCGCCGCCCTCCGCCGCCGGCTTCTCGAAAGCCCTGCTCCCAAAGAAGAAAAACCCGACGCCGTGGCCGGCGACGGCGGCCACGAACACCCCGGCGTTGAACGACATGACGGCGAGCATCACGAGGTAGACCAGCCCGACCCTGACGACGTACATCGCCGTCTGGGCAGCGGCGGCGGCCGCCGACGACCGTCCCCGGAGGATCCTGCAGTGGGACAGCCACTCTGCGGCGGCCGCAAGGAGGAAGACCACCGCCAGGGCCAGCGCGTACATCCCCGGATGGCCGTAGCCCGGCCACCCATCGAACAGGATTTCCGCGTTCTCGCCCCAGAAGAACGTCATGTGCATCATCATGTGGCGGCGGCGCATCGCCGTGGGCGGTGGTGCTGCCGACGACATGCCGTGTATATGGCCACCGTCGTTCATTTATTTTTGTTGGAAAGATAATTATGATATTTCGGTGTGGGATTGGAATTTATTGTAAAGAGATGGTTTTGTTTAAGAGTACGAGGCGAAAGGCTTAAGTAGTTGTGTTTCTTTAATCATTAATAAGTTTTTGGCACTTGTGTAGTACACTCTACTAAATTTTTTGGGATAGTACAATAAATGCGAATTTTGGCAAATTCGTTGCTCGTCCAGTTTGCGCACTACAACATATATTCACATGAATATATGTTAGATTCAACAATTAAATAATTGAAAAGGGGCACTATTCTTAGCAAATACTCCAATTTTTCAATGAGTTTCAATAAAATAATTGAAGAAGGGCACTATTCTTAGCAAATACAAATTTTCAATGAATTTCGGACGGTGAATTTGCTAAGAATAGTGCCCCTTTTCAATTATTTGATGATATCATGATAAGGTGTATTTTTAAAATTGTACTGCAAAAAATTAACAGATTAACTTTTGGAAATTGCAGTACGAAAAAAAGTTATAAAGTAGTACTATGTTTTGTTCTTGGTGAGATGACAGCTGGGATTTTGTTTCTTCAACATGTGACTTAGAAAATATTTACATTTTTATTTCCTCTCGATTTGTTTGTTAACAATCCGCCAAATTTGTGGCTTGGTTTTAATACGTACACCTTGGCCTTGGGCTAAAATTTACTGGAAAAGAGAATTGAATGGACTTGGTTTGGCAATAAGCATTGAATACGTTTGATTATTGGCATGCGTGCCTTTTGAATTTAAAGCTTCGTTTATCATGTTTTTGGGATATACGACGGCTCATTGGATGACAATCATAACTAAAAGAATTCAATGAAAGTCAAATTTATTTTTAACTTTAATTTAAGCTCATTACACGTACATCAACTTTAATTTACTATTCATCTACTCACATTATTGTAACTACATATAATTTTTAATTATATTTCTCTTATTTTTATGTCAAATCAACTTTAACCATTATATTTTAAATATTATTTTAATCCAAACTCAAAATCCACTCACCCTCTTAGGTTTTTTAAGTGCACGGACGGGACATTATGTCCTCTGTGAAGAGCATTATTCTCGTAATTTGAACTCAACATGAAGTTTGAATTATTTCCACAAGAAATTGTGAAGAAGGTGGGAAGAAGGGTATTCAAAATTTATAGATACGTACACATTGCGTTATAAATTAGATCACTGAAGATACTAAGAGGATGTTTGGATAAGATATCTAAAAAAAAGCTATTATTTTTAACTATTTACTTTTTTAACTCAACTCTAACTCAACTCCACCATCTTCAATATTATCAATATAATTAAATAATATCAATCAATCATTTTTACACATTACATAAACTTTAATTCGCTATTTATTCACTCATAAATATTTAACTAATCATCATTTCATATCTTTTCTTTCCTACTTTTAAATTAAATTAACTTGAATTTTTTATTTTACATATTATTTTAAAATAAACTCAAAATTTCACTAGCAACTAACCATATCGCATTTTTCAAAATAATATTTCCTCCTATTTTTAATAAGTGTCGTTTTGAGAAGTCACACAATAATTAAGATTTTTTTTCTGCCAATAATAACCCTTATTAATGAAGATATAGATGAACGTTTTGAGTAAATATGAAGAATAAATATGAAAAGACGTAGTGTATTTATTAGCTAGATGAGTGTAATAATGGAAAAATATGTACAAAAGATCCAAAACGTAATTTATTTAGTTAATTGTTGATAAAGTCAAAATGACATTTCAAAAAAATAGGAGGTACAATAAATCAAACTAAAAAATCCAAACAAAACTAAAAAAATTTATATCAAGCATCCCCAAAAAAGTTACACCCCAAAAAATCCTAACGATACCAATATGAACATAGTTGTACACAAATTATGCCCACGTATCATTTTAATTATATATACTAATCCCGTGTCATTTAAATGAAACACATGATTCAATAAGAACGAGCCAAAGTTTCCCTTCCCATCCCATCCTTCCAAGCAAAGGGAACCGAAATTTATGTTCTCATAGTCCCAATCCCATCTCAAACATCACAACTATTAGAATATCACTTTTGAGTTGTCCCACATCGCTCATATATGAAAAATAGACCCACCTTATAAGACTAATAGGTTACTCATCCTTCCACCAATTGGTTTTGAGATGAAACCCCATTTGAGTTTCATATGAATTTTTCCCTTCTTTCATGGCCTGGTAATAGGCCAGTACCTATTTTCCCCCAATTTCTGTCAACAACAATACCCCCAAGAGCCAAATCTCCAAAAATAAATTACAATCAATTGGCATAATTTGATAATTTGATTATTATTACTATTATTTAAAACCACCGGTCACACCTCATGGTCACCGGTCACACCTCATGGTCACCGGTTACACACAACATGAGAAGCCCCAAAAAGGAAAAAAGAAGCCAATCTCCAATTCCAATATTATTGTTTATCATATAACAAAATAAATAAATAATCACATTAAAAAAAAAAAAAGTTATCTAGTCCTGATCAGAGAAAATATCCTGAAGGACGGAGATGCACTGAGCGTGCGGGTCCTTAGTCATGAACCCAATCGGGTTAGCAAATCGCACATCTGAGTGGATCCCAATATTCTCGGTCAGATCCACCCTCGAAAGCTCCACGTCAGACAGGGGCTCGCTGCACTCGGGCTTCGGGCTCTTCACGGCCTTCACGTAGCACGAGTCATTCTCGTGGTCCCCACTCACCTTCAGGCTGTACTTTCCACTCCCATCCGTCACTCCTTCTATGCTGTATGTTACAGCCTTCGTCTCCAGGTTCACGCACTCTAGTTTCACAGCAGCCCCTGATCAAGGCAAACAAAAATATAATATTTCATAGTATAAATATATATTTATATTAAAAAGGGAGTATCATGTGTCAACCCGCCTGTCTTATAGACCTTGGTGCACCTTTTTTGCCATTTTGCATGTTTACAATATTTTTTGATTTTTTTTTTATAAGTATACGACAGTAGAAAAAAAACAAAAACATACATAAACGATTGATAAACTAAAAAATAATGCAATTTAAAAATTAATGACGAAATTAAATAAAAAATCAGTCATTCATAAACTCTGGAAGCTATAGATCTCGCACAAGAATTTGTGTATTAATCAAATTGTTGTTACCTGCGAGCTTCTCGCTAAGGGGATTTTGGAATTGAACACGGCAGGGGTCGCAATAAACATCTCCCTCCACTGTGAACACTTCTTGTTTGTGGCATTGGGCAATGGTGGCAAAGGCCAGGATGAAGAGGGCAGAGATGAGACCAATAGCCTTTGCCATTTTTCTTTTTATTATTATTATTATTTTCCTTAATTTTTTGGTTTATTATTTATGACTATATTATTAACTTCTCTTGTTTTGTGTGCCTGTGAGGAGCAGTTTTGACCTAAATTTATAGGGTGGAACGAAGGGGAAAACGGACGGTAGAGCGAGTATGTCTGTAATTTCTTGCATTTTGCATGGTTATAATAATGTGTTGTTATATAATGAGGTCAATAATTTTTCTTCTACACTTATTTAGGTGTTGTGTTTAGGGTTCAACAGAATTTTAACTGCCAATGCTTGGTGAAGTATAGAGTATATGATAATCCTAAAAGAAGATTAAAAAAGTTATTTGTTCTTCTCAATTTATTCGAAGTTTCACATTTTCTCTTTCATTCATCTAGTTAAGTTACACAAAATAAAACAATTATGGAAAAACCAATGATAAAATACTGCAATGAAATTTCCAAAGGAAATTTTAGATAGCTTCAATTAGAAAATTCCAACAAAAATTATTTTATTCAAATGAATTTCCATTAATATTGAAGTTGAAATTTAATAATTCTAACGGCCCTTTTCCTGTTTTCCAATGGTTTACTGCCATAAATTGTAGTATAGCCCACTTAATATCAGCTCCTAAAGTAGGAGTTAAAGTTGAAATTTAAGTTTCGTCAAAGAGGAATGAAAAAATTTATATTCGTTAAGTGGGCTATTGAGATTTTGAGGCGTGTAGGAGGTGATGTTTTCTTAAAAGTATTGTTTTCAAAGTTGGGACAGACCGACTTGTTAATTAGATCGAAAATCAATTTGATTATCAATTCAATTATTTGTCAGTGTACCGAACGAAACCCGGTCAACGATCTTCTCATGGACAATCTTCTTTGGGATTGAACCGGTCCATATTATGAATACAATTTTAATACTCAATGAGTAGGCATAAGTTAGTTATTATTCAGTTTAAGTATTAGAATGTTTTAAATTATTTAAATATTCAATAAGTAATATTTTTATATTTAAATTTTATTATGTAAAACATTATATATATTTAATAATATTAATAAATTAAATATTGGTTCGACCACTGGTCCTACACGTAAATAATTGAACCAGTAGCTTAATCGAGCAAGTTTTGAGAACATTACTTGAAAGTCAACATACGATTTTTCATGCCACGTGTCAGTTGCGGATAATTACGATATAACCTACAAATGAATCACTCTAAATTACTCCAATATATTTTTTAATTAAAATGATATACATTGGAAATAATATAATAAAAGGCAAACATTTAATATCATAAGTGTGTGTTATTGTTTTGAACAAATAATAAAATTCAACTCTATATATAGTTTATTTAGGTCGAGTAGTATTATTTTAAAATACTTCTTAATATTTATTTTATATAATATTTAATTTTTAATTTTTTCTCAAAATATATTCAAAAACTATTAAAATTATTTTTTATGATGTATTAATGTATTATATTTATATTATGTTTATAAAATAATTTATAATGTCATTTGATACTTTTTTCTTTTAATTTGGTTAGTTAAACAAATTTAGTTTTATTTGTAAAGATATATAAAATTATAATTTATCTTTTATAGACAATACTAATGTCAAATTGAAGATTGTTAAAAAATATTTAATTTGATATATCATATATGAAAATAAAATATAAATTAAAAAATTGTAAGGTTTTAAATGCAAGAAGAATCGATATTATAGTAGTTAATAAATAAATTAAATTAGAAAAGGAAAAGCAGTACATAGTAATTAGGGAAAAAAACCTTATTAACTCACTAACAACTAGCAATACCACATTTTTTAAAATTAACCGTGATTAAAGAAAAAAAAACTCGTTTTGAGCGGATATATTTATATCCCAACATGCCCTCAATTTTCTTAAAAGATGAATGTTTGTCCGAACCTAGTTACTGAACTTGAAGTGCTGCCACATATGATTTCAAAGCAGTGCAAACTTCCAGTACTCAAGCTCAACACATTCATAAATTTTATACAAGGATTGCGAAAGTTTGCACGTAGTATCTAAGTATATTGTTAAATATAATACATTGAAAATATGCATTTCATTTTCATGTTATCATAATTTATTTTCTGATTATTTGAAGTATGGAAATTAACTTTATTAAAAATTGCTTAAATATAACCAATTTAGATAATTTTCTTTACTAAAATAAAATTTAAGTAATTAAGATTACTTTCAAGTTAAGTTTTTAAAATGTAAATTATACATAAATAATAAAAAAAAAAAAAATTGTCTTACATAAATAATACATTTGGAAATATATGATTATACTAAATATGAAATGGGATGTCAGGAAATATATTTAATTGCACTCGATTACAATCGTTAAGTCATATTTGGAAAATATATAATTATTGATTAAAAAAATAAAAGAAACATTCCATCCTTTGAGAAGTAATGTTGTTTTAGGTTGAACTAGAGGGATACTTTTAAGGCTATTTACCCACTTTTATTATTATATTCGATAATAAAAAAAATTAAATAAATAGAATAAAAAATAATGTTATATATTATTAAAAACCTCATTGTAGACAACATTCTTTGGTTCGTAGGTACACCATTTTTCTCGCAAATTAATATTTCAAGCTTTTTCGGTTAGTGAGATGGAAAACAACTACATACTTATTAAAGAAGTCATCAGTTAATGCAAATACAACCAACTATAAGCTAATTGTCAAAATATAACTGATTCTGACGGTTGAATAATTTTTTTTACACTTTTTAACTCAAAATACAACCCAAATTTAATTAAATCAAACTCTCCTAAATATTATAATTATAATTAAATAATATCAGTAAATCATCCTCACACATCAAAATCAACTTTAATTCACTATCGAGCCACACATATTCTTAACTGTCTATTATTTTCAATAATCTTATACTTTTAGTTTTACATTACATGCATCAACTTTAATATATTACATTTTAAATATTATCTATAAATACAAACTAACCCAACCTATGAAGAGCAACTTATATAATAAAAAGTCGCTCTCCAAGTACTTTAAGACACTTGAAAGCATGAAGAGCACACTTCGTTTTGTGATTATGCTATATCTCGTTGTACTTTGTAGAGGTGACCTTTTTATTTTTTATACTGTTTTTCATAGTTTCATTTAATTATATTCAAAATTATCTCTGCTGTATATCTTAATAAATATTGGAATTTCATTAATAATTACAATTAGTCAAGTTTTAAACTTTTCTTTCTTGATTTGGTTTTTATAATAGTAATTAAATAGTGAACGAAAACCATTTGAACTTAAGTTCTAGTAAATTAATAAACAATAGAATTAATTTTATTCATCAAATTGATTTACCAACCGGTTTAATTACATAATGATGTGATAACAAGATTTGGATCGTTGATTTTTATAATATTATGATGACACGATTAATGAATGATTATTGTGTATATTTTCGATAACATAATTTGTAAACAATTCTGGTAACATAACATGACTAGTAAAATTATTATATTCGGAGCTAAGTTCCATTAACGTACGCTATGTTATATTCAACTCCAAATCGTGTAGTGTGTGTGTGTAAAATAAATAAATAAATAACTCCAAATCGTGTATTTATCTTTTTTTTTTGCCGAAACGATAGATGAATTATATAACAAACGCACAAATGTGCAAAGATACAACTTGAAGTGCAGCCCAAAGCTGAATAAAATGAGAGGACAGGTCTGACGACCGCCTAGAACCTCAAGCTAAAATAAAAAACAGACTCAAAACACTACTACCAACTAAGATCGCTCCCCACAGGAGAATAGAATCGGCTCCCACAGGGCAATCAACACAGGGGCCAACGGCCCAGACCGAAAAAACCAAACATAGAACACTCAGGCGAAGAGCCCAGACCAAAAATACATGCCCTAAAGAACACAAATACAAACGACAACAAACAAGCAAAAATCAACATAAAACAACAACTAAGAAAATAAAATGAGCCCTTCCTAAGCAGCTGAACCAAGCAGAGTAAGTGGATACCAAGCCGACCTCGAGTGAATCCCACAGCCAAACGGGAACGACCCGAAACTGCCCAACACTCGGGGGCCTAACGAAGTCGAAATCCAAGCCCCAGAACAACACCCGAAAGCAGACTCGAACTACAACTTCAACACCTAAGATGCCTCAGGACCGCCACGTAACCGGACCCGCTAACACCACTAGCTAGTCAAACCACATCCGGTGAACCCCGAACCACGAAGATGCCGAGGCTGCAGCCACGTCCCCTACCGCCCGAGGCCGCCACAATCCTCTACCCACCGCTGCCCCACCTCGGCCATCACCACTGGCCGAAGGTCAGAACAATGGTCCACCCCAAACCCAAAACCGAAGGAAAGGGGGAGAAGGCAGGAGGTACAGCGGAGCTCCGGCCGTCCGACATCATCGCCGTCGAACAACCGAGGCACCATCCACCCAACCGAATCTGCCGCAATCCTCCGTCCACCACGGCCCCACCTCTGCCATCACCACTGACCGGAGGATAGAACAATGGTCCTCCCGAGACCACCACCGGAGGAAAGGGGAAGAAAGCTGAGAACTCAGCGTAGATCCGAACACCCACATCCCTTCGCCACTCCCAGGAAGCCGATGAAAAGAGCCCGCGGGCCGGCAACTGAAAACCGACCCAAACTTGAGAGATGAAAGCTTACCTGAAACAAGTGACGAGGGAGGCGCGTGAAGCTGGGCGGAGGCCAGGCGGCCGGGGGACGACCACCGACCAAAGCTCAATTACCGCAGAGGAAGGCCGATCAACTCTGAATTGGAGGGGAACGAGGGGGTAGGGTTTGGAGGAGAAGGGGATCGCGATTTTACTGCTTTGTTCAAGATTCAAAAGGTATATTCCAAATAACTATTGTCTTGAAATTTCAAATTCAATTGTTAACAATTTCCTAATAATTTTCATGCAAATCTTTAATTCAAAGTCAAATGTTAACAATTTCCTAATAACTTTCCTACAAAATTGCCCGCATAAATAATGATAGATATGAAATTTGGCAGTATTCAAAAGATAAAAAGTAATTCAAATTGTGGAGAATTTAAAATGGTACGAGTTTGCATCATTCATTTTAGTAAAAAAAAAACTTAAATGAATTTTATTAAAAAATTAATTTTATTTAATTAACTTGCACTAATTATACCGTCCATGCAAAGAAAAAAAAAACACAATTATATTTATGCAATT